TTTCTTTAGCTTTTTATTTTGGCCTGTAGTCTCCAAGTTCCTCGGCTTTCTTCTCCTGAGAGCAGGGACGACTGTCCTCTGACATAATCCACTGTAGCCTTACACCATCCATTAGAGGGAAAATCCTCTCCTCCTGTTGGAGCCCAGCCCCACGCAGCTCCGCGTCTTTTCAGCCCTCTCACCTCCAGCCCTGGCTGTCAGCCCTTCTCTGTGCGTCCTCAGAGCCGGAGGACCCCGCGCCCACAGCGTCACACACCCTCCTGCACTGAATTACACAGATACCTTCGCACACTTCGGTGCAGTTTATCTGAGCGTCACATCTGGAAAGTTCTTTGATGAAGATTCGTTGACTGACAGAACAAAGGAGATGTGTCTTATTTTATTTTGCACTGAACACATACAGACTTTATTTTCATGTCTTCGTTCCCGCAACACCATATAACCACTACGTGTACAGCACTTGCATTATATTGAGCAGCACAAGTAATGCAGAGGTGATTTAACGTACACAGGAGGATTGCATAAGTGACATACGAATACCATACCATTTTATATAAGGTATTGAGCGTCTGGATTTTATCTGTGGGAGTCCCAGAATCAGTACCTGTGAATACGGTCATTATGAAATAACATTAGTACTACTGTTAATACTGTTGTAGCAATAATACTAGTATTATGAAACTAAGACATAGGGAGGCTGAGGTCGCGCAGGGTCACATCTCTAGTGCGTAGCCAAATTGGGCTGCAGCCCAGGTATCTCTCACTGGACTTATCTCTTACTGATATGTGATGCTGTCTTTGTGACTAAAAGAGCTACTACCTACGGATTTTCACTGAAGTACCTACTGAAAGGCGTCATGTAAAAGACTGATAATATATCTAGACAGAAAAAAATAGAATGTTAGAAAAACAAACCCATAGTTTATATTGATTAGCTTATGTATTAATGATAAAATATTCTTCCATGAAGTGACCCAGATCAGAATTTCTAGGGACTTTTGGCCTTTGTAGTTCTTTACTTGGCAAAAGAAAATATTTGAGAACTCCATGTCATTTGCTCCAAATATTTCTTGATTCTCCTGATATGTGAAATCCCAGTTTGGAAATTATTGGTCTTAGTGATTGCACAGCATGGATTTCCTTCTTTAGAGGAAAAACCCCCAGATTCTCAAGATTTATTGCAAATGTGTCATACAAAAATATATATGTAATATATCTTATTTTATGAGGTTTTGCTTACTGCTAAGGAGAACCTGGGCCCCTCGTCCATATTTATTCTCATTCAATTCCTTGACCACCCATAGGATCGCTGGGGGTTGTCATTTTGCTAAGAAACTGAGCACTTTGGCTTCCCTACTACTAAATTCTGCAAACCATTCATTCATTCAGCAAACACTTAATAAGTGCTTGCCTTGCATCCAGAATTATTTTAGGTGCTAGGAATGAAGTAGAGGAAAACAGACAAAAGCCACCAGCCTGGAAGTGTGCTCATTCCTATTTAGATGAGAGAGGGCCACCTCCCTCGGGGTGCAGTACTATTCCCTGGGGACTCTGGCCCTGTGCGGACTGGCCACAGGAGGTGGTAATGAGCCTGCTAAGCGCCACATCATCATACTCTTACAGTCTGGAAGGACTTGATGGGGGAGAGGACTAAGTTCATTCCTCATTGGAGAGAGTAGTGGAGCTAATGGAGACAAGCAGTGAAGGCAAGGACTTCCTTCCCACTGCCGGAGAAGCTACCTGCCCACTCTGGCAGCTTCCGCTCCTCGGGCTGACCTAGAGAGGCCAGCGACGGCCTTGAAGGTGAATTGCTACATGGGAAGACATTTCCGTTATTCTAGTTGATTTCTATTTTGCACACACACACACACACACACACACACACACACACACACACACACCCCATTCACACTCGGCACTGAGAATACCATCAAATGTAAATCCTGAGAAGACACACACAGTTATATGATTATAAAGCAAAGCAAAATCGCTAGCACCAGGGCCAGCCCTGGATGAGGCACGCTGATCTGCCTGCTGTGGACGTGGTTCTCAAAGGACTGCTCTTAGCTTCCTTAGAGGCTTGACCAGGAGCTCGCTGCCTGTACAAGGTTCCCCTAGAGACTGTTGGAGCCTCAGGCTGGCTGCCCTCACTCCAAGAGAGGCCAAGGTCTCTGTTGATCTGGATTGGGGTCGGGATCCTGTGTTTTCTAAAGAGCACCTCAGGACCACCAAGCACCAGAGGGCTCCTCTGTACCTTGCCTCTATGGCGGCAGCCAGTCATTCCATGGTGTGGCTACCACTGCTGTGTCCTGGCACTTGTGGGCATCTCGAGGCCTGTGAGCACAGGACAGAAGCCTCACCCAGCTCCAGCTAAACATGTACCTTCCCCCCATTGGCAGGCGCCTGGATTCTCACGGGAGGCACCCATTATGGGCTGATGAAGTACATTGGAGAGGTGGTGAGAGACAACACCATCAGCAGGAACTCAGAGGAGAACATCGTGGCCATTGGCATCGCGGCTTGGGGCATGGTCTCCAACCGGGACACCCTCATCAGGAACTGTGAAGCTGAGGTACGGGTGGGACAGGGAGGGCATCAGGGAGAAAGGCCAGGGCCGAGGGCTGTGGCCTGAACACTGGGGCTGAGGTTGGAACCAGCCTGTAGGAAGCCTGCCACTCAAGGCCAGCCTTTGGACCCCAGGAAGTAATGACTGGGATGATGTGTAAAGCACTCCAAGGAGGTGTCAATAGCGGATGCGTTCACTTACCAAACTTGTTGAGAGATAAACAGAGTGGGGTGGTACACGTCAACAATCCCAGCATTCTGGGAGGTAGAGCAAAGCAAAGCGAAGCAAAACATTAAGGACAAGCTGGTGAAGCCGCTCAGTGCAAACACCCTGAGTTCAATCTTGTGTGTGTGTGAGAGAGAGAGAGAGAGAGAGAGAGAGAGAGAGAGAGAGAGAAACCAAATAAGAAATGAATCTCACATTAGAAGTCAGGTGTATAACAATGACTCGTAAGGTATCTTGAGAATTGTTATATTTTTATACAACTGTAATTTTCCGAAATTGACTCAAAAGAAACTAGAAAATCTAAATAAAAGAATTATCACTGAAGGGGCTTAAAGGGAAGTGAAAAATCATCTTCTAAATTGCTTTCAGTTGGATAGTTTAACTTAGCAAGTAGAAATCATAATCCAGTCCTTGCTAACTTAAAAACATGTTTACCATCTTCTCTTACACACAGCAGCATAGTATCTACAGATTTCCTCTGCAGCAAGGTTATTCTTTTTCTAGAAAACCATTTAGAAGTATCTATCCTGGCCATGAAAACTGTTCATACTGCAGGTCTGACAGTCGTACTTACAAAAGCATTGCTAGAGAATTTCATATTCAGCCAAATATGTTCATTGAAGTATTTCCAGTAACAACCAGGTGTTATCTGTTAATATCTAACTAGATAGGACAGCCTTCAGGTAGGTTGCTAGGTAAACTTGAAAGAAAATTATGGAGCCGTGAACATAATACTTTATAAAACTGTTCTGATAGTGTGGGATATGTGATTTTAAGCATGAAACTATGAAAAATATATATGTGCCTGGAGAAGAGCTAAACATTAAAATCTTGATGACAATCAGTGAGTCATAGAATTAAGCATAATTTTAGTTTTCATCTTATTTCCTGCATTTTTCATGTTTTTGTAACAAACACACATTACTTTTAGAGACAAATTTTAAGGCCGGTTTTTATTCTTTTAAAGTTTCTAGTAATCAAAATCTTCATTGACAGCATAGTTTCATAACAAATGAGTATGATCTTTTGGCTGGTTTCCTGCTTTATTTATTTATTTTCTTGCTCTCTTTAATGTTTCAATCTGCACCATGGGTTTTGGTCTTTTGTATGAATTGAAACCCTCTGTTCAGAAGAGCTTGTTGGCTGTCATCTCCTCCTATGTAGTTTCCACCTAAGGTTTCATTGCCAAAACCCACCCTTGGGGATGGGTTGGAAAAGGGCCCGGATGCAGCTGACATGAAGCAATGCCACATCTTGCAAGTGCTGACATTTTGTACTGCTGTTTGGGTCTCTTTGAGAGTGTTTTCCCCATTCCATCATCAGTGCTTTTCTTGAACCAGTCCTCTACTTTAAATATTATGATGACAGCCTTTATTTGCTCACAGAGCTAGCACAGGTCTCTACTCAGGTTTTGTTTTGCAAAAGACATTTGGCTCTTTGTTGTCCTGTTTCTTCATAAACTTTCTGTGACCTTTGTCAGATATAGTCACCAAAACAGAACGAATTGTGATGACAATAGCACACAGTCACTGAGTGAAATCATTTTCACAGTGTAACTCAAACCAAAAAACGTTAAAATTATGAGGATGTCATACATTATTCCAGGAACATGGATCCCTCAACTCATGTGATGTGTGTCTTTCAGGACAATTTCATAATTTTCTTTTGTAGATTCTACGTCTTTCTTTTTAGAGATTTTATATTCTTCTTGTTGTAAGTGGGGTCGTGATTTGATGTAATTCTTGAGACAACTTTTTCTGGTCTATATGAAAATATTGATGTGTTGATATTGATGTGATTGTTGTTTTTAATCAGATACTTAATATACTGTCCTCCTAGTTCAAAATAGTTTTTCAGTACACTCTGAGTGTTCTAGGTTTGTGGTCATATTATAATAACTTTAGTTTTAAAAACAGCTTTTTGATTAGTGGCACCACACACATCTTCCTGCACTGGCTGCAATGTCGAGTAACATTAATAGTTCTGATAGCCGGTACTTGACAGGCCTCTGGCATATCTAGGGTCCCAGTTAGTGGGAAGGTTCTAATATTTCATGGATAAACAGGATTTTACTACAGGTTCAATACACATGTACTTAAAAAATGTCACAAGATATTTGACATTGTTATTTGAATTATTATTGTAATTCTTTTTGGTGGTGTTTCCAGATATTGAACCCAAGACCTTCATACTGACCTAAATCCCCAGCCCTTATTCTCTCTCTCCCTCCCTCCTTCCCTTCTTCCCTCCCTCCCTCCCTTCCTCCCTTCTTTTCTTCCTTCTTTCATTTCTGTTTTGGAACAAGGTTTCACTAACTTTCTCTGGCTGGACTTGAGCTTGCAATGTTCCTGTCTCAGCCTCTCAAAGTGCTTGGATAACAGGGGTGTGTGTGTGTGTGTGTGTGTGTGTGTGTGTGTGTGTGTGTGTATGCACGCCGTGTGTTCAGCTGCAAATGTTTTAATTATCTTGCTACATTTAACTAGCCAATGATTTGTTGGGTTGAGTTTATCCACATACACAAACAGAACGGTCTTTTGGTTTTCCCCTTTGTGTTTCCTTCCTGGTTAGGGCTTTGGAATCAGAGATGTGTATTGGAAGGATGCAATGGAATTGGGAATTACGTGTTCTGTGGGAGCTCAAGGCTCCTCGCTCAAATACCTGGTTGTGCTTATCTTGCCAGTATTTATCATCTCATCTGCCATGCTCAGGCTCCCCCTTCCTGATGCTGCCACCGGAGCGAGGGGTGCTTAGAGAATAGAACTACCGCATTGGAGTTTTCCTTTCTTTCTACCTTCGAATGTGTGTTGTTAGTAGAATCAATGTTTCCTCTCTTCCTTGAGTTTTCAACTCATATTCTATGCTTTGAGGTAAACTTAAAACATCCTTCAATGCAGCTCCGAGACTTTAAAACTCAGTAGCTTTGGAGAGGAGCTTGAGAGTCAGGAACCCATATGTTAAAGATTCTTTTCTTTAGGCTTTCTCCCAGCCTTTTATCTCCTGTTCTTGCCAGGACAAATTATCTATTGAATTGTTTCTTTTTATGGTCCTGTTACTGTGCATTTCTCAAGCACAAAGACTATTTTATTTATCTTCTTATCTCCAGGTCTTGTATATGATAGACTCCAGACAAACGTGTATGATCTCTCTCTCTCTCTCTCTCTCTCTCTCTCTCTCTCTCTCTCTCTCTCTCTCTCTTTTGTGGAACTGGGGATTGAACTCAGGCCCTTGCACTTGCCAGGGAAGCACTTATTCCACTGGGTCATCTGCCCGGCCTGATATATCTATCTTAATATCTACCTTTTCTTGTGTATCAGTCTTTCATGCAATGTGTTCACACATGTGTACATATGATCTACATATACTTTGAACCCTACACAATTTTGTAAATTTATGCAAAAGAGCATAGAGCAGTAGACCATGAGCTGGCCTGGGAATCTGATCCTTAGACTGTCACTGGCCATACATGTGACAATGGGCAGCTTGACCCAACCATCTGAGTCTCTGCTTATATTTAAAAGCAAGCCTGTGATATCAGCCCCATAAGTCTCTCCTGGACCTATGGATGTGGCAGGAGGCATCAATACAGGTGGACCTGATATATTAGCTTTAACCTGATTGTAGAAATATCTTCATTCATCTTGGTCAACAAGGAAGATCTCAAAGCCAAGTTTCTTTGTACTTTCCAGGGGCATTTTTCAGCTCAGTACATTATGGATGATTTCACCAGAGATCCCCTGTACATCCTGGACAATAACCACACCCACCTGCTGCTGGTGGACAACGGGTGCCATGGGCACCCCACCATCGAAGCCAAGCTCCGGAATCAGCTGGAGAAGTACATCTCGGAGCGCACAAGCCAAGGTTGGTGTTTAGAAAGTGGGGCACTAGACCTAGGTGCCCCATGGTGGCAGCGTCGAAGGCGTCTGCTGGTTGTTAAGTGCTACATGTTGAGCCCTCCTAATTAGGTGTCCTCATTGCTAAATAAGAGCTGTCATTTCTCTTCTGTCTTCACTTCCCAAGAGTGCTTCTTCTCAAGCCACTGTGATACGTACCCTCCCATGTGCTGAAGGCCCTGACAGGTGCTGTCTTCCTCCACTGTCATTTGTCAATGGAGAAAGCCTGGCTTCCCTTCTACCTGACAGAACTTCAGAACAAATCAAGCCAGTGATAGCAACCTTGAGTTTAAGAAGCAATGTGATTATCTAGGGTAGAAATGATTACAGACACAGCCCCCAGTTAAACAGTTAGTAGATGTGCTTTTTTGGGGGGTGGGTGGGATGAATCTTGGCTATTTCTGTAGAACTGAGTGAAAACCTTTATTTGATCTGATAATTGACATACAATCTTTCTTCCTCTAGACAAAGTGTTGAGATGTGTCCCACTGTGGAACCAAATTAACTTGGTTTAATGATAGACTTTGTCTCAGCGACTTGTGGGAGATACTATTAATTATTTTCCTTTCACAGTGAGATATGCACAAAGATTTAGATATGTTCTAAACTTCATTAAGAGAACACCTAGTTATGCAAATTTTTATTCACTCAAGAAAGCATAGGATTATGCAAATGAGTAAAATAAGTATTCTTAGGATAAACTTGAACCTAGCCACTCATATCAGCAAAAGTAAAGCAAGGCAAATTGTCACCATTTTATTATTTTTTAATCTAATTTAATTTTAATTTTTAAAGAGAGTACAAATTAGAATTAAAACAAAAAATTACAAGTGATATAGAATTTCACTTAACAAAGTAATATGAATTTCATAGTACTTGTTATAATACATAGTGTTGTCTTCCAACCAGTTATTCATATTACTAGATATATGCATGTAAAATTGAAAGAAGAAAGAAAAAAAGAAAGAAATGTATAAGAAATTAAGAAGAGAAAAAGTACAAATAATTGAAGAAAGGAGACAAAACAAATTAAGTATTATCTGCTCCTTTCCATGGACCAGCAGAAATACACAGTACAGTTGTCCAAACCATCCTGCTTACATACCTAGATAAAGATAATTCCCCCACTCCCTCTCTGGTCCTTCTCATCAACTCAGTAACTCTTTCTTTTTGAATAAATTCATTCCCTTTCCCCAATATCTATTTGTACCTTTCAGATTCCATTTTTCTCTTTCAGCTTTTCACACTAATGAGGCAATATGATGTTTGTACACATAGGTCTGATTTATTTCACTTAAGAGTATGTTCTCTAGTTGCATTCATTTATGGACAAAAGACTCAAATTTATCCTGTTTCATAGCTGAACAGTACTTCACTGTGTAAAAATGCCACATCTTCTTTATGTATTCTTCAGGTGATGGGCATCTGGGTTGTTTCCAGGATTTAGTTTTGACATATTGCACTGCTATAAACATGGGTGCACATATATTGTTGTGGTATGAGGTTTTCAGTTCTTCTGGAAAAATATCCAGGAGGGGAATAGCTGGCTTGAATGGGATCTCTAATCCTAGCTTTTGAGGGAATCTCCACACTGATTTCCATAGTGGTTGTACCAGTCTGCACTCCCAGCAACCGTGGAGAAGTGTTCCTTTTTCCCCACAGCCTCTCCAGCATTTGTTATTGGCTGACTTCTTGATGTTGGTCATTCTTTCTGGGGTGAGATGGAATCTCAGTGTTGTATTAGTTTGCATTTCTCAAAAAAATAATGAAGTTGAACATTTTTTCATATATTTACTTAACATTTGTATTTTTTTCTCTGAGAGGTATATATTCATCTCAGATGCTTATTTTTGGATTGGGCCTTTGAATTTGGGGGGCCTGATTTTTTAAATTCTTTATATGTTCTAGATAGAAGGCCTTTGTCAGAGGAACAGTCAGCTACAATTTTTCCCCAGTTTGTGGGTTTTATTTTTACTCTGTTGGAGCTTGTTTTGAAGTGCAGAAACTTTTCAAAAAGTTGTGATCCCAGTTGTTGATTCTTTGAAGTGTTTTCATCAGCATGTTATAAGTTCCTTTTGTAGAAAAAAAATCTTATTTATCTATTTATTTGTTTGGTGCAGGGTCTCACTATGCAGCTTGGACTCATAGTGATCCTCCTGTCTCAGCCTCCCCAGCTCTGGGGTTACAAGCATGTACCATCATGCCCTAGCAAGCCCAGGGCAGGGCCAGCACAGCATGTGGCTGGTACAAGGGATCAAACTTTTGTCCTTGCCCTTGCCAGGGAGGCTCTTAACTGCTGGGCTATCTCCCCAGCCCCTCTTCAACATTTTGAATACTAGGGACAAATTGCCACCCGACCTGTGTCTTGCTGTTACTAGTTTGATGAACAAAGATTCTGGCACTGGGATTGAGCAGTGTGAGGGTCAGTTCCAGAGCAGCCAGCTGTCAACCCAAGCCCTGGGCTCACAGGGCAGAAGCTCCTGGTGCATTCGTTCCAGGAGGTAGGCAAGTATGCTTGTCAAGCTCAACATAAACTTTACTTTTTATATTTTACAGATTCCAACTATGGTGGCAAAATCCCCATTGTGTGTTTTGTCCAAGGAGGTGGAAGAGAAACTTTGAAAGTGAGTCTTGGCTTCTTCATTTTTGAGAGTTTCTCTTACCAAGCTTACCCAGCAAATTCACATTTTCAGGGACTTGGGCTTTATATACTCTGTCCCAACTATGCTCTTTTATTAGAGCAATTAAGTAGTGTGTTCTTTTACATCCTGTTTCCTTAAGAGATTTGGCTTGGTCGTTGGCTGAGATGACATGGGAGGAGGATTGGAAGTGACACAAACAGCCACTGTGTTTAGTGTCATCTTTGACAGCCGACCTGCCAAGAGGTGCATGGACATTCACTCATGAGATTTAAGGATTTTGCTCTGTGTGTGTCATGTAAAACTGTGGTCTTCTGTCTACAAAAAGTGAGCTGTCCTACTCGCTGCCCCTGTATTCGTTATCTGCAAGCCCCTAAGCCCCATTCCCATGGCTCCTGGGGATGCAACGACATTGCTCCTTGTATATTCTTTTATAGCACAGAAGTTCATTCATTCATTCATTCATTCATTCATTCATTCGGCAGATATTTATTGAGTACCATACCCACTATGAGATCTATCATCAAGACCACTGTTAAGTGAAAGCCTCCTAGGGAAAGACATTTCAAGGAGTAATTGAAGATTTTTTTTCCCCATTTGTAATGGCCCCTCAATGATTACTGAAAAAAAAAAAGCCACAAAGAAGGAAGAGAGGTGTAGAGAAAATAAATGAGAGTTGCATGCATTCTCTTTCAGATTACAGAACTAAAATGACACTTTCTTGACCTAGGGTAGAGGGAACCATCAGAGCAGCTGAGGTTTAGGAGACAGCACATTTCTGAAGCACTGTACAGAGGTCTGCTCGGCCACGGAAGGAGGGTGGAGACAGGAGGGCAAGTGGATGGAATTTGGAGCTGAGGTTTCTTCAGCTCTTCATTCCCACTGCAGGGCCTGGCTCTGCCTCTGCTGCAGGAGGGAGGCTCACAGGGCCTCTGCCTGCTCCCCCTACTGTGTCTTGGCTCTGTGCATTTGGCCGGATTGGCTGTGTCATTTCTAAGGGAAGCAGTCAGCTCTGAAGGAAGGGGACTCGCAGCTCCTTCTGTGCCCGTGTGTTTAGATCACCTCCACCTGCTGTCAAGGATTACCATCGTGATTCGCCGAGGCTGCTGCTGCTTCTTTCTTAATTTTAAAGAGAACAAAACCCAATAAAAATGATTCAGAATTTTAAAACAAGATAATAGGAAATTAACAATGGTTATTGTACTGCATATTGTTCTCTTCAGAGTAGTTGTTCAGATTACCTGATATAAGCATGCAGGAGTGATCAAGCAACGTGGGCACTAACTGCTGCTTTCACTGAACTAATAGAAATTAGTGAAACAGTTAGCTATCGTGTGTGTGTGTGTGTGTGTGTATGTGTGTGTGTGTGTGTTCCCTTCCTCCTTTTCTCATCCCGGTTGTTCTTTCTGTTGAGCAGTTTCTTCTCCTTTCGCAGTGTCTCCTATATCTTTTCGATCATATTTACTCTTTCAGCTTCTTAGACTAGGGAGACAATGCAGTGTTTCCACATGCGGCTCTGATTCATTTCACTTATGAGTACAGTCTCTAGTTGCATCCATTTACCTATAAAAGTCAGGAGTTTATCTTTCTTTCTAGCTGAGTAGTACTTCATCATATAAAAGTCCCACATCTTTTTTATCCATTCCTCGGTTGATGGGCATTTGGGTTGTTTCCAAGATTTAGCTATGACAAATTGCGCTGCTATAAACATGGGTGCACACATATCACAGGGTTTTTAATTCTTCTGGAAAAATACCCAGGAGGGGAATAGCTGGGTCGAATGGGACCTCCAATCCTAGTTTTCTGAGGAGTCTCCACACTGAGCTCCACAGCGGTTGCTGCTGTCTCCACTCCTTCTTACCGTCAGCTAAGAAGGCTGTGGGGAAAGAGGCTGGCTCTGGGATCCCTAGAAAGGAAGTGGGATTGTGGCTGCTGCTTACCCAGGAAATAAAGCTGTCTTTATTCTCTCCATAATAGGGGTAGGAATGTGACTTGAGGGGAGGACTATGTGAGAAAACAGCACAAGACTTGTAGCTAATGCTTCTGAGATGCTTTTAAACCTTCTAAGTATGAGTGTTACTAACTTCTGCCAGAAAAAACTATCAAAAACAATGTTAAATAGAGGCTAAATTTGTCACTTAAAGATTATGGAAAAGTTTGGAAAGATCAGTTTTATCTATAGGGAGATTTTGAAGCCCCTCTTTATGGAAAATGTGAGCTTCTCCGGTGACCTTGTTGTGGAGTTCGTTATTGGCGTTGGAGGTGTATGACCAGCTAACCTTCCCCATCAGAAGGTGACTATGAATGTTTGGTTTGCTTCTGACTCAAAATAAAGGTTCAAAAGGAAAACACGCAAGGTGATGCCAATGTGCCTGGTCTATCAACTCGATTTTGAACCTCAGTCCTGAGCTGGGTTCTGTTGATGACCACGTGTCTCACAGATGTCCCCTCTCTCTCTCCTCTCCCAGGCCATCAACACGGCTGTCAAAAGTAAGATTCCTTGCGTGGTGGTGGAAGGTTCGGGCCAGATTGCCGACGTGATCGCCAGCCTGGTGGAGCTGGAGGACGCCCTGACCTCATCCATGGTCAAGGAGAAGTTGGTGCGCTTTTTACCCCGCACAGTGTCCCGGCTGCCTGAGGAGGAGATCGAGAGCTGGATCAAATGGGTGAGCTGTGGGGGAGACACTGAGGGCTCGAGGAACAGGCAGCCAACCTCCTGGGAAGGGGAGGGTGACATATGGGCCTACCATGCTTGTACGCACGCCCGACCTCTGCGGGCGCTCTGCACTCCCTCTGTGATTCTGAAGCCACTCCAGCCCACTCCAGGGGTCTCCCTGGAAACTGAAGCTCAGATAACCTAAGTGCTGCTTCAAGCGTGCGTGTCTCCTAGGCGGTATCATACTGGGCATAGCAAACTCAGGTCTGCTTGCAAGGTGTGTGAACTTTCTCTTGCGCCAGGAGGGCAGTGGGGGTTTCTCTGGCTCTGTGTGCATCCATGATAAGGCAGCAGTAAACCCTCCCCAGACTTGGCGTGCCCAGTTGGGGCTGCACCTACGGGAAAGACCGACTTCAGGTAATTGTCTTTGACACCAACTGGCCTGTGACTCCGTCCAGGGTCTCTCGTCTTTCATGTAGCAATTGCTGTGATAAATAGTTAGGCAGCTGTGATGAACAGCTACGATGCTCCTGACTTCTCTACTTGGAAAATACGTCAATGGATCAGCGCAATGCTTTCCTTCTTTTCTTGTTTGCTGTCCACCTGTAATGACTTGAGTTATTCTGCCTGCTCTAATCAGCAGAAAGCTCACATAGATGTCAGGTGCATCTCCATCTGCCCATTGAGAAGTGATTCAGATGGTTGGATATTTTTCGGTGTATGTGCTTCCACCCAGAACTTTTCCCATAAAGGAAATCTCCAGACCACAAAGGGCATTTTCATCATACAACCCATTTCATTATGACAATTGAAGGTTGGATTTGGTATAAGTAATAATACTTCTTTAACTAGATTAGTATTCCAACACTATTTAGTTGTATCTAGCCATGGAAGGGCTTTAAAGTATCAAATGCAGAAAATCAACATCTCAGAGTAGGGAAGGTCATGTCTTTATGTTCATGCTAACCTGTGCCATGCCATAGGCAAGCTTGTACAAACCAAATCCTTATAGAATAAAGAAACAAGCAAGAAAAGCCCATTCTGGGAGGCTGAGGCAAGAGGATTGAGAGTTTTACTCCAGCCTGGGAAACTCAGGAAGTTAGTGAAAACCTGTCTGCAAAGATAAAAAAAGGAAAAGACAAGACAAGACTGGGAGCGTAGCTTAGCACTGGCCTTGGGTTCGGCACTGGGAAGTGCTGAAAAAATAAGTCAATTCAGCCTTTGCAGGTGTGCTGCTACTTTCTCTTCTTACTCCCTGGTACCTATAAGTAAGTTACATGAAAAAGGACCAAAATGACTTTATTTAATGTCACAAGAGGGCCACTAGCCAAGAATCCTGATGGAGCACAGGAACCTGGAAACAATCAGGAAATAAATCCTTGTGGGTCAAGCCTCATTGTTTGAAGTTTGACACTTGAAAACATAGCTGAGCCTTCCTCCCATAGCTGAGAGGCTATATGTGTGTGGCCCGGGCCCCGTGTGGCATTGTTGAGATGGTATTTGTACTGAGAAATCTGCCTTTTTCAGATTCTACTAAGAACATTCTACTACAGTTCTTACAAAGATGTTTTTGTGTCTTGTCTAGTCCAACTGAGAGAAAGATATAAGAATGGGGGCAAATGGAGGAGAAAATAGTGGCTTTATGGATGGTGACGGTAAAGTCGATAGGTGAGGCTTGGAGGTGCCCACACAGTTTCCTCCTCGTGCTGAGTCCTTCAGCGGGAGGCCTGGGCCCCAGCAGTGCAGGCAATGCACAGCAGCCTCAGCCTGCCTGCCAGGAGCCAGCAACCTGCAAGGAGCAGGTCCAACAGAGGAAGGCAGCAGAGGGCCAGGCAGTGCCATAGCCAGTCGCCACCCTGAGTAAATGAAGGGGTTGAGAGTGGCTGTAGAGGACAGTGCTGCCAAGGCCCCTTCTGCATACAAATGTGGGTAGGAGGAGGGCTCCCTTCCAGAAGGGTTTCATGTATTTGAGTCTCTAAAGATTCTTACCTGGGGAGCTTGAGTCCATTTCGAACATTGAAACAGACACACTCCAAGAGGCGCATGTAAAGGGAAGATGCTGTGCACTGAGCTCCATTGTCAAGGCGGCTACCTGTGCTAGGTGGAAGAAATTCAGCGGTCAGTGTAAGGATGCCAAATGGGAGGGACCAGGCAGCCGTGAGTTCACCCACCAAAGATGGTACTGGACCCATTAAAGGCTGTGCCCTCTCTCCTTGCACAGGCTGATCCATGAGGTTGGGTCCATGTCATATCCAAAGAGCAGAGGCCACTGACCAGGTTCCTCCACCTTTTGTAGTGCAATTTGATTTCTACTTCAAAAGGACTATTATAGGCAGTTAATTTCACACAAGCTAAAAGTTAGATACTTTCTGTCTTCTGTGATTACATTCACCTTTTTGGGATTTAAATCTAATTCATAGTCATATCTAATGAAATGCTTTATTTGTAATCATGTCACCCTAAAACATGTACCAAAAATGAACATTAGACTAGTGTCCTAATTATGCACTGCTGTGGGAGCTTGCTGTGGGCGCAGATTTCCCAGCAGACCAGGCTCAGGAGTGGGAATGTTAATTAAAGAATGTACACATTCAGTGAAATACTAAATAAACAGCTTTCCAGGGTAGTTTTCCCCACACTTTCGCCCCCCTTCCTGCTCTTTCCCTCGAACTCCCAGGTCTGTGTTTCCCTGGAGTTCTCCTATTTCTCACGTGTTCTGAATCAGGTTCTCTGTCACCACCTTCCCCGGGAAACAGGCTTGAAAGCTCACCTCCTTACTTCGAGTCCAAGGCCCCTGCCCAGTCCATGTTTCCCACTTGAGGCTCTGAGGCTTCTCTTTCTGCTCAGCAAAGGCTGCAATTCCAGATCCTTGTCTCCAGATATTGCCATGGAAACCCTCCACCTGTTCCAATCGGGCTAACTGAAGTCAGACTCCCCTCCTGCTCCTGAAGGAGCCCTCCCTCACCAAGCTCCCAAGCTCAACAGGGCCCCCAGTGTGGACTTAGGGACCCCTTTCCTTTAAAAAATGTTTAAGATTAAATGTTATAGCAGAATCCCCAAAGCTGATGTAACTAGTTGTTTACTTCCTTTCTCTGGTTGACAAGTCTTCTTGGTTCTCGCTTGCATTTGAACTTTGCCTTTCTACTGTTTAAGCCTAGAGGACCGTGCTTGGAGAGCTGGTGTGGTGGTCTGCTTCCCTTTCTTCATTTAGTCACACGTATGACAACTGGACATCTGTGATATCCCTGGCTTTCACACACACACACACACACACACACACACACACACACACATATCCTTGCCAAATGGGGCTCTCGGGGTTTTGATGGAGGCCTTTCCGTGTCGTGTGCTCTTGTACAACCAGCACTTTATTGTCACTGTGGTCGAGGACCGACTCATGACCACAGTTTAGAAACTGGAAGCGGTGGGGTCCTGCACTGTTGGAGGGGGAAGGGCGGGACTTCCCTAGCAGCGCTCTTCTGCCAGGGCGGGAGGAACCCTCCCCCACACAGGGACCAGCTTATGTCCTTCATGCTTAGCATCAGTTGGCTAACAAGGTTTTTCTTTAAATGTTGTCAGCTCAAAGAAACCCTGGAAAACTCTCACCTTCTCACTGTTATCAAGATGGAAGAGGCTGGGGACGAGATCGTGAGCAATGCCATTTCCTTCGCTCTGTACAAAGGCAAGTGGACGTCACTCCTCTGAGGCTCCACGTGATGTGGCTCTGTGTGGCGTGGCTCCATGTGGTGTGGCCTCCTTATGCTTTGCACTTCGGTTTCTTTTTCAAAGTGGATTTAGTGGAATGCAGGCTGAGCATCCCCAGTCCACAACTCTGAAATCTTGAAATATGAAACTGCTAGAAAATAGGAAACTGTTTGAGTTTCCAGTTGATTCCGCAAATGGAAAATTCCACAGCTTGAAACTCTACTCTGTGCACACAGTTATTAAGAATAGTGTATACACAAGCTCAGTGTACAGAGTGTATATGACACTCAAATGAATTTCATGTAAATTTGGGCCCCAGAAAGTCTCACCATACACATACAAGTGTCCCAATGCCTGAAAGACTTCAAAATCTGAAACAGTTTTGGTCCTAAACATCTCACATAAGGATACTCAGCCCTGTCATCTTGCACTTAATTTTGATTAAAATACTGGGAATGTAGACTATTATTACCCTAGTGAGGCATATTTCACCAAGCGTTTGTACTTGACAGAATAACAATTCTATGTCATTCAAATGCTGATCAAATATGATCATGGTATTCTCCAAATAGCTGTTTGCAATAGTGGTTTGAAATAGTCTTTCAGTCCTAGACTCCTTGGAGGATGCTAGGAAAACCTGGTGCTTTCTCCCAGCCGTACAGCATATACTATCTCACTCACATTTTACACTTTGCATAAATAATTTTGCATTCAATTTCAAAGGCTTACAGACTGAAGGAAGGCGTGAATGACTGTGGGGTTGAACACCCCTCCTTTGCAGACCTAGCTGTCTTGCATTGAATCCAATCCAGATTACCTGAAGTAAGCACTTTCTTGGCAACGCTCTGCCCTTTGGAGTCGCGCTGCCTCCCTTATTAACACAAAGCACACAGAGCAGGGTCAGGCACAACAGGAAGTGTGATCTGGCCATTAGCTGTGTATTAGAATCATTCTTCTCGAGCTTGCCAGAAACTGGGCTATAACACTACTTATCAAATAGAATTATATTTGTATACATTCATAAATATAGAGAATACTGACTCTAGACAAGGAAAGAAGGGCAATGTCAGGTCTGGTCCTTGAAATACAACATTTCTGGGCTCTGAACCTCTGGAGTGATGCCCACACACCAGAGTGCTTACGCAGTGAACATGGGCCATGGAAAGATCATAACCTAAGGGCTCCTCACTGTACACTTCAGGACATACAGGATATGGCTAAGAGGCACTATGGTCAAATGGCAGTTCTGAGTGTCCCTTACTTATAACCTCTTTCCTGCCTCCCTGCAGCCTTCAGCACCAATGAGCAAGACAAGGACAACTGGAATGGGCAGCTGAAGCTCCTGCTGGAGTGGAACCAGCTGGACCTCGCCAGTGATGAGATCTTCACCAATGACCGGCGCTGGGAGGTCAGTGGGGCACTTTGTGGTTTTGACGAGGCTTCCTGGGCTGTCCTTCGGGGAAGTCCAGGGATGGGCCTCCAAAGGGCTAAGCCACAGCTGGTGCATTTCCAACGGGGCCTTCCATCCTGAGTGTTGTGAAGGTTGTGCTGGGGCATCAGTGTCGTCGCGTTGCTTTCTCTGTGTCATGGGGCAATGACATTGACTCGGGAGACTTAAGAGGTAGTGCAGATAGAGCCCTGAAATAAGGTAACATCCACTCCTCCTGGTGTGATCAAGGGCTGGCGTGTGAGGGGTGACTCTGACGTGATGTGGAGCGGCACATCTGCTCTCGGTAGTGTAGGTAAAAGTACTGGGAAAATAGGTACCAGGTTATTGAAAGTACCTGGGATAAAACTCAAGACAGCAGCTGTTTCCCTCCTCCCTTTCTCTTCCTTCTTTTCTTTCTATTTTGTTTTTTCTTTTTGGTGGCACTAGGGATTGAATCCAGGGCCATCACATTGAGCTACATCCTCAGCTTTGGTTTGACTTTTGATTGTTTAAAAAAAAAATCTATGTATCTTTAAAAATTTATATATTTGATGATTTTTTTTTAGTTTGAAATAAGGTCTCTCTAGCTAACAACATTCTAAGTTCCCCAGGCCAGGTTTGAACTTGCGATCCTTCTGCCCATGATGCTAGGGTTACAGGTGCACATTGCCATGCCCCAAGGTAGCACTTCTTTTTGTTCCACTTACTTAGTCAAATTCTGATAGATTTGTCACCAATGATATGTGCGGGGGTGGCCTGAAGACCCTCCACGAGTATGACAGAGCTGGCACTGGGGACTGCCCAAGGCAAAGGAGGACCTTATGAACTTGCACATGTAGTACTGGCTGCTGTCCACCAGGGGGCAGCCTGTCTCACTTGCTAATGCGATTAGTGTTTGAAGACCTCTTTTTCTTTCTTTTCTTTCTTTCTTTCTTTTTTTCCCCATAATTTTATTGAGAAACAAATAGCAATGAGACAGTTTCAAACCAAATTGGTAGGACAGTTTCAATAATTAACACCTTGCATACATTCTTCCTAGTGGTTAATTGCTGTACAAGATGCGGACTTGATATCCTATTTACAAACACCATTAGAAAAGTATAAGAAGTAAAGCCATGCTGTTATGTTGAGCTGTAAGGGACTCAGGTCAACAATTTGTGACATTGCCAGTGAAGTGAAGACCTCTTTTTCTAGCAATGCTCCCTGTGTACACCTCGTGCCGCATCAGCCTAAGCACACTACTCAATGAGAGCATTCACGAACCAACGTGAGGGTTTGCAAGGGCTGCTTCTTGTTTCCAGCTAATTTTGGATTAGCTGAGGTCAGCAGTGGGCAGTGAGAACAGACTTAATTTTATCCACATATGTATAGAGTTGAAGGGGCATTGGCTATGTAACCTACATCTTTAGCAGCCAGATTCAGAAAATGCTTTCAAGCCTGCCACTGTATAATCAAAGACTAAGACTTGATGATTTATATTAGCATCTGATCAATTTTAATGAGAGCAGTGCAAATAAAATAATGGCTCATAAATGTTTAAGTTATTCATTCTTTTATCAAATATTATTTCATATTTGGTCTTTGCAGTCTAATGAATCTGATTACATATCCCCAGGCTTTGGTTAGCAGGGGAAAGTAGGGCTGTAGATGAATTAATTGATTCCTAAGTGAACCCATGTATGAAATGTTCCATTTAAGGAGAGACAGATGGTATAAATAAACATAAACTCAGGCACATTTTGAATTGCACATTTAATTTTATTAATCCAGATAAAGATTGTTAAAGGCAAAGGACACAGTGATTAAGAGTGTGTGCCCATCTTCAAGACTTTGGCCCAAGTACCCCACCTCTGGGTCTCCACCCCTCCCACAGTGACATGTTGCAGTCACTTCCACTGGCTTTCAAGAGCTCAGTGCTAAATTTTAAGGATTTTGTGAGTTGATTATTAAGTACAGTCACTGCTAAGAGTCAAATTATGCAATTTAGAATTAAATAAATTTTGTGGAAAATGAGGGTAGGAAATGATCTAAACACACCATTTTCAATTCTCTTACTGCATTTACTGCTAGCTACGTTCTCGTGGTGGTTGCTGATGCCTGTGACTCTTCGCAGAAGGCACTGCTCAGCGGTGCGCTGTTCCACCCTTATTCCCACTTCTCCATTCAAGGATGTCACGTATGGAGCTGAGAGCTGGCACGGGGAGGGGGAGTCTCGCCGTAGGAACCCGCAAGCTCTGCGAGTCAGCCCTATATTTTCTTTCGCAGAGCTGGTTGTTAAGTGCTTACCAGCCCACCATAGCTCATCTATCTGCAAATGGAGAGGATACCATCAGTACCCACCTCGCTGGATCGTTGCCATTGTTAAATGAGATAATGCTCGGGAGTATGCCTGAGGAGTTAGAACACTGGCACTTATTAAGCATCTATAAATATTTGTTTGAAAATAATTAAAGCCTTTAAGCAATGATATTTGTGCAACCCTGCACAGTGCATGCAGTAATTTCATTGTTAATTTGCTTGCCTGAACCCAACTCATGTACAGATAATTGACACTTTTTTTAGTTAAGTCACCAGAGCTCCAGGGATATCACAGGAAGAGAAGCAGTGACACTGAAAGCCTGCTCTGAACTGGACTCTCTTTGTGTTGTCCACTTCCATCTTCCTTATCATCTATTTCAGAAAAAGGAAACTGAGGCCCAGAGACACAGTCATGTTCTAGCACACGTAGAGACCAAGGTGTGGGAATAATGAATGCTGTGCCTGACTTCGAAGCCCTGTTCCTGCCCGTGTGCCAGTGGATCGGCAGAGTCTAGACAGGGGCCTAACCCGGGCGCTTGCTAGCAGTGCGCTCTGGCTTCACCTTAGACTTGCTGAGCCAGAAACTCCAGGGTCTGCTCCCAGCATTCTTTCTTGCAGCAGGACCCTAGGGCTGAGGGCCACTGCACAAGCTCTGCATGTGGGACCGTCGGAGAGGCAGAGTGTGTAGGATGGTTTAGAGTGCCGTGCGCTTGAGCTCCTGCCTCGAGGGCAGATGAGGACGTGCAGCTACCATCTTCCCCCAAGGAGCCACTTCCTTTCTGAGCCTAGGGAATCCCGGTGGGGACTCAAAGGAATCCTGATGATTCCTTTCTAGGCAATGTGTGATCCCCACGGTATCAACCCTGGACACAAACAAAAATCATTAGTGCTCCCGCTGACAGAGGATGCCCCCCTAAGCCAGAGGTCAGGCAAGACACATGAGGAAAGTGGACTGAGTGGGCCGTAGGGGAGAGGAATGGGGACCATGGGGCCAGAGAGTCTGGGTCGGGGGAGCAGTACCACTTGGCACCATCTGATGGCCCTGTGTCTTCAGAATGTCTAGTTTCTGCTCTTAAAGCTGGATTTTAGTGCTAGAAATGTAGCTTTTGATGAATCTTTGACTTTTTAAGTGTTGGCAGTAGAATCAAATTATCAAAAACACCATGTAGGACCTATCCCAGAGCTGATGTAGGCTGCAGCCCACTGGTTTGTGGCTGAAGGTCATGTTGACTATTTTAAGATTCTCGGAAAGCTTCTGAGGGATGAGTTTTATCGGTAGTCCAGAGAGTGGAGATAAAGATAACTAATGGTTGTGTCTGACTGTTATATGTTCCAAGGCATTACTGGTATTTTTTCGGTAATGGTTAGAAACGGTGAGGTTAGAAATGGTGTGGCTGAGGCAGAAGACTCTCCCTCCGACCTGAGGTGTGAGTGTTCTTTCTGCTCTTTCTCCTTAGTCTGCGGACCTCCAAGAAGTCATGTTTACGGCCCTCATAAAGGACAGGCCCAAGTTTGTCCGCCTCTTCCTGGAGAACGGCTTGAACTTGCAGAAGTTTCTCACGGATGATGTCCTCTCTGAGCTCTTCTCCAACCACTTCAGCACCCTCGTGTACCGCAACTTGCAGATTGCCAAGAATTCCTACAATGATGCCCTCCTCACATTCGTCTGGAAGCTGGTTGCAAACTTCCGAAGAAGCTTCTGGAAGGAAGAGAGAAGTAGCAGGGATGACCTGGATGTGGAAATCCACGTATGTAATGTGAGAGCTGTCTGCTTGAGTTCTCTGTTCTTCTGAGTTTTCTTTGAAAATCCTCTCTCTATCTCCATCTCTCCTACTCCCTACCTCATTGCCACAAAGTAGACGTGTTGACACAAATCATCCCATTCCGACTTCGCTTAGGAGTAACGTGCCTGTTGAGCTCCCTGATGTCTTGCTCTATGCTCTGGGCTGTATTTCAAATGCATTGCAGTTCTCTGGATTGTGGAGCTTGGTGCGGCATGTTTCCCAAAGGCATCTGACGAGGAGACAGGGCTGAGCCAGTGGCTGCACACTCATCGCAGCTGACTGGATGTGATGTGCTTTAGGAAAGAGCTCCGAGTAGAAAGGACTGAAGAGCTGCTGAGAACAGAAGGGCGAACAGAAGGGGTAGCAGGTGTTCTCAGGGGAACCCACTTGACAGGATGTGTGGAGGCCCCACCACGCCCCTTAGCCTTCCACCAGAGGCTGGTGCATAAATCCTCCAGCTGTTCCCCACACAGAGCCGACACCTTCTCCTGGCTCCAAGCGTTGTGCAGTAGAGCCGATCTCTAGTCACTCATGGTAGAACGTGTTATGAGGCTGTTTACTGGCCCCTTTCTTCTCTGATCTCATCTCACTCTCCTGTCGTTTTCTTCTGGAATTATCTCTCAAGTAAAATTATTGCTCCAAATTCTTACCTCAGGATTGCTTCTGATGAATCCCCACAGTAGGTCATTGTCTTTTATAATCTTGGGATTTTCAGAGTGTTTTAGAAATCTGAGTAAGCTAAGTGTTTATAAGAATTAAAAGGGGGCCTGCCCCTTAGCTCAGTTCTTTAAGTGGCTGCTTCACCAAAGCAGTCAGGCTCAGGTTGCTGTGGTTCGATCCCCACAACCCTAGCCAGGTTGCTGTGGTTCGATCCCCACAAACCTGCCCTGAAGGCATTGGGAGAAAAAAAAAAAAGAATTAAAAGTGTTTAGGAGCTGAGGAGATGGCTCAGTAGAATAAGCGCTTCCCTGGCAAGCGCAAGGGCCTGAGTTCAATCCCTGGTTTCGCAAAAAAAAAAAAAAAAAAGTGTTCAGGGTCCAGGTATATAGCTCAGTGGCATAAGCGCCTGCCTGATAAGCACAAGGCCCCAGGTTCAATCCCTGGTACCACATGCTGTGCTAGCCCCAGAACACTGGGCACCCTGTGCTGGCCACTGAAACTGGACGTGGTGGTGCACACCTGTAATCCCAGCATTGGGGAGAACATGACAGGAGGAACACTATGAGTCTGAACTGTGGAGCAAGACCCTGTACCAAATCAATAACTAAAAAGATTTTTAAAAAACCCTCTGCAGTACAACACAGAACTGTGTCTTGTGGAAAGGAATTAAAAGAAATGTGCAGCCTTAGTTGTTTTTCTGTCTGAAAGTGTTCTGCTGGAGGATATGGAATCCTTATATGAGTTGAGATTCTAAATGACGTGCTAGGAATTCAGTCTTTGCATAGCAGTCGAAAGACATGAGCACGTTTTTATGTTGTGATAATTGGATTTAAGCCCCAGGAGGGTTAGAACTTAACTGGAATGATTGCTTTCTAGATGAGAAACAGATTTCTATGATGAGAAGGAATTGCTTTCTCTCTGGCCAGCCAGAGCCACTCAGCTTTAAATTGCTCTCAGAGCATCTTTGCGCCCCCTATGCCTTTCCATCGAGCTGTACTTTGTCTTTTATGACAGCTGAAAGATTTTGTGTCAAATTATACCACCTGGTGGGTTGCGGAGATGAGAACCGCGCCGCTGCGCTGTTAGCGCGGACTCGTAGGCAGAGCTACAGAGCTGTCTGCACCCGGGGCGCTATCCTTGGGCTCCCTCACCCCGATGCCGCTGTTAGAATAGGGCACTTCCGTGATGGCCATTGGCACGTGGTGATCGCCTGCTCTGACCCTCCCAGGACGCGTCCTCCATCACCCGGCACCCCCTGCAGGCTCTCTTCATCTGGGCCATTCTTCAGAACAAGAAAGAACTCTCCAACGTCATTTGGGAACAGGTAAATGTCGAGACGCACGCTGCATTTACACCAGATTCGTGCTTTGTAACAGTTCTGGTTTCAAAACTCTCCAGTCTCACCTAAGATAACAGTTAATCGAATGGAGCAGCGCCCGAGGTGGAAGGTCTCAACTGCACCCCGGCGTGGTCGGGAGGGGCAGTCCCTGCGAGTAGGGGCGCTTGGGTGGGGGAGGGGCCCTCCAGGGGCCACCTGCTTCTCAGAGGTGTGTGGGTGCGTGTTTGTCTCCCAAGTGAACCTGTGATTTATTATTTTTTGAACCTTGTAATTTAACAGGTAACTTCTAGCTTTATTGCGCTGTGGGCAGGAATTAGGGCCTGTGAAAGTTCTGCCTGGGAAAACATACTGAGAATTTTCTTTGTGACTTAGTACCTAACACTTTCTTGGAAACGACTTTCTGGACTCTTGCACTGCCTGCTCCATTTTAAGAGCATGAAAGTGGGTGGCGAATGCCGAATTCAGACACACGCAGCCTCACAGGCTGCGCTGCTCGGGTCCCCTGCAGCCTTCCCACTCTGCGGCCTCCGGGAGCCTGGCCTATGGCAGCGCCGTGACACTGTCGTAGTGGCAGGCCGGGCCTCCTGCTAGCAGGGTGCCGCTCTCAGCTGCTCGTGGCATTCACCTTGATGAGGGCGTGATTGAGTAACATGAACAATGTTGAAATTTTAAAAATTTGTCCTGGTACGAGGCCCACTGCCACGAATCCCCTTCAGTATACTGCTCTTGCTTTGAGCACATGTATCCCCAGGTTCCTGCTGCCTTGTAGAGCAGCTCCACAAGTCCTCTTTCCTGAGTGTCTTTACCAAGTACAGTTATTTTATTTATTTATTTATTTATTTATTTATTTATTTTGGCGGAGCCAGGGATTGAACTCAGGCCCTTGTGCTTGCCAGGCAAGCGCTTATTCTACTGAGCCATCTCTCCGGTCCTAGTACAGTTAAAAAAGTATGATAGATGCTGCTGCCTGGTGCTGCCCAATGGGCAAGTGGCCTGCGAGAGTCTCACAGCGTGGCCCCAGCTCCCCCACCCACCCCCTGCACCCGCTGGACCTGCACCTGGGACGTCTGGCTCTTCCCCAAAGTCGAAATGACCACAAGAGGCCAACTTTTTGAATCAGTTCCGAATGCCGAGACAGCTGCAGCAGTGCAACTCAGGACATCTATGAAGGAAAATTCACAGCTGCCTCAGAAGGTGGCAAGAACAACAGGGCCATTGTGAAGTGAGGGAGCTTGGAAGGGGATCAGTGATCACGTTTTTTTCTTTAATAATTTTTTTTTAATGTATTTGGTTGGCACAGAGTCTCACTATGCAGCTCAGACTCAGAGTGACCCTCCTGTCTGCAGCCCCCCCCAGCGCTGGGATTACAGGTGTGCACAACCACGCCAGGACTCTGGGGCCAGCTCAGCCTGCCCAGAGGGATGCGCTGGTGCGGTGTGTGGGGCGGGATCGAATTGCGGTCCCTGTGCTTGCCTAAGTAGGTGCTTAGTCTGCTGAGCTATCTCGCTGCCTGGCCTTTCCTGTAATAATTTTAAAGTTTAAACACACAACATATTTTTAATCACATCTCATGTCTTCATGCCAATTCCACATCTAAGATGCTGAGTGTGTTTGAGCTCGAGGCTCAAGGCCATGAACATCTTCAGGTTCAAGGTTAGTTTGTATTCGTTACAAATTCTACTCTGAAGCATTATGGACAGCTGAGTCTCGGTCACCTCCTGCCCTGGCTGTGAGTCCATCCTGTCCACTGTTAATCTTGACTCTACTACCTCAAGGGATTATGCACTAACCTCAAATTCTCCACCCCTTCTAAAAGACCAGGGGCTGCACTCTGGCCGCGCTGGGAGCTAGCAAGCTTCTGAAGACTCTGGCCAAGGTGAAGAACGACATCAACGCCGCAGGCGAATCGGATGAGCTGGCCAACGAGTATGAGACTCGAGCTGTTGGTGAGTGTCTGGGGCTGGGTTCTCCCAGCAGGCCACAACCCGGGGTGCTCACACCCAGGGGGCTAAGGTGAGCTGCATGCCTGGGCTCCCCCTGCTGGCCCAATGGAGTGCACGGAATCATGTGACTCCTTACCCTCCACAAGACTATTGGGAATCCTTTGCTATCTATTCCAGGCCACCAGGTCTAAGTAACTCAGCATCTCAGGGAGCTTCAGGGTGATTTTTTTTTTATGTGATGAGTTTGGGATTTTGTATAATTTGTAAACCAACACAGTAGCCTGCCCTATCATATCTATCTATCTACTATCTATCTCCTTATCTCCAGCATATTTCAAATGCCTGGGTCTGTGACAGAGTCGGTTTATTACTAATGGCAAATGTAGCAGCCCAAGTAGCATCTTGGCTAGGTTCTCGTGCCTCGGTGCCCCTGGCAGCCACGCCAGGAAAGGCTGATGTTGCCACCTGCAGTGAGCAGTGGGCCCTGCACCCCGCATGGCAGGGGCCAGAGGCGATGCCCGGCCGTACTCTCCTGGGTGTCCCTGAGAGGACCACTGGGCAGCTCTTTGCTGTCGGACCTTTGATGCAATCCAGCTGGCACCTCTTACCAAGGGCTAGACCATTCAGGAGAGGGAGGAATTGGGCAGCTTTCTCTCAGCTGCAGAGTTCTCGGCTTGCTTAGCTTCTTGCTTTTCCTCTAGGTGGTTTTAAGTTTGCAGTGACATCTGTATTACGTGCTGTCTACTGTCTCAGTCATGCTTCGCTCTTTGTGTTGGGTACCAGGTGTGTGATGATTTAACAAATTAAAATTCTGAAGACAATGCAGCTTTCTAGGTGACCTCAGCTAGACTGTGGTAACTCATATTTGGACTTTTAAATGTTTCCCTTGAGCATCTGCACTCCAGTGTCTCTGTCATTAGCCCTTGAAATGTGAGAATACCTGCCACCCAACGCTCAGGGTTGGTGCTACCTTTTTGTTAAAATTTAATTTTATTTTAAAGAGTAAAAACAGAAGCAAGAATAGAAAAAAAAAAGATACAATACATATGTTGTATATTTTCAAAACAGGAATAGCTAAATAACAATGGTTATATTATCTATTTTTATCATCAAATCTGTCACTCAGATTAAGATATAGTTATGCAAGAGTGGAGAAATCATTGAATAGTGATGATTGCTTTTAAGAAATCTTAATTTTGTTCTACCTTTTCTTTGTTTTCATGCTGTGATTTATCTACACTAAAATCTCACCAAGAAAACAGCAGGACAAGGGGTGGTGGAGGAGGGGCTGCCCCTGCTAAGGGGAAGTAGAGGGCCTTGCGTTGTCACCAGGGAGCAGTGCCTTGCTCCCTCTGCCAGGCCCCAGACCCCTGAAGGGGACACTCCCTGGGCTCAAGGCCACTCCATGAGCCGCTATCATCAGGAGCTTTGCTGGCTGCCCTGTGTCTACAGAAAATCTGTCCCAGGCAGCCACTGCCGTGGTGGCTTTCACCAAGCCTTTTGTTGTTGGTGGTAGTGTTTAAAAATTTATTACTTATTTGATAGAGGGTCTCACTATGCAGTTCAGACTTATAGTGACCCTCCTGTCTCAGCCTCCCCAATGCTGGGATTACAGGCGTGCATCACCACATCCTTTCGCAGCCGGGCGCGCCAGGTGTTCTGGGGCAGGCACGGCATGTAGGAATCGAACTCGGGTCTTTGTGCTTGCTAGGCAGTCGCTTAGGCCGCCGAGCTATCTCCCCAGCCCCACTGGGCCTTTTCCAAGTCAGAATGACTCACAACTAGGTTGCTCATGGAGTCAGGGCCCGGCGGGGTGGGGGTGGGCAGGCAGCTGCATGAAATGGGCAGCTCAGAGCCCAGCTCTCCTCTCTGGCGGTGCTGCAGAGCTGTTCACAGAGTGCTACAGCAGCGACGAGGACCTGGCGGAGCAGCTGCTGGTCTACTCCTGTGAAGCCTGGGGCGGGAGCAACTGCCTAGAGTTGGCGGTGGAGGCCACGGACCAACACTTCATTGCGCAGCCCGGGGTCCAGGTGAGGAACGCTTTCTGTTGCTCTAACAAAACACCTGTGACAGTCAGCTTAGAGGAAGGGTATTTTGATTCACAGTTTTGAAGACTGCAGCTCATAGTTTGATGTCTGTGATGCTTTGGGGTCTGTGATGAGTACTTTATGTCACAAGTGTATAACACTGGAAGACATCGCCCTCAGGAAGCAGAGAGAGAGGAAGGGGAGGGGCTGAGCCCCCAGGATCCCTTTCAAGACCACGCCCCCATGACCTCACTTCCTTCCTCTAGATCCCACCTCTTAAAGGTTCCACCACCTTCTGATAACAAGAGCTGGGACTGAGCCTTTAGCACGTGGGCCTTTGGAAACATTGAAATCAAAACCATACACAGGAGGAAGAATATTCTTTGAGTTTCTATGAAAGCAAACAGCACAGTGTTGTAATTGGGAACTGGTGTCTAGGTCCCATGGCCTGGAAATAGGGGTGATGGGCCCTTGCATCTCCTGAATAAACATAAATAGAGGGGTCATTGGGAAGAGTTGCTGCGAGGTCGCCACAAGGCACTCCAAGGCCTGCATGATAGTGACCATCAGCAGTGCAGGTAACAGAGGAGAGAGATGCTGTGGAATGGGCACAACCAGTCCTGAAGTGAAGTCCTGTCCAGAGTGGAGTGACCAGAAGCTGGTGTCCACCATGCACGGGGTATCAGAAGGGACGGGGCTGAGATGCAAGAGCTGATGCTGTTGGCCACACCTGGTTCCGCGCCCTGGGAGGTGGGTCTCTTCCCTTCTTACTGATGAGGACTCAGGACTCAGAGAGGTACTGCGATGTTGACCCAGGCTGCACTGCTAGGAAGTAGCCATGCTGGGATCTGATGCCACATGGATGGCCTCCTGCTTCTCACGATTCCCATGGTGACTGCGCAGTTCATAGCAGCAGTGCTGATGAATGGAGCCCACTCGCTGCTGTAGCCGGCCATATTTAGTGAAAGATGTATCCTATGGCAGGGACAGCAGAGGAGTCTCGCTCTTGCTCCTGTGGCCTGACTGCAGGATAGGGTGTTTGCAGTGAGACCAGTACCCAATCTTGGGCATCTTGAGCCCAAATCCAAGCGTTTTGATATTCCAGAACATGGGACCCTGGAGAGGCTGGCTCATGTTCCCTATGCTATTGATTTTCCCAAGCCCTGAAGATTTCAGTCAGATCCCAGGTTATCTATGGCCACTGGAAATCACCACCCTGCCCATGGCAACACTCAGTGGCCCGACCAAGGAGTTTGGTTCCTGGAATCAGATTGCTGTGTGGAGTCAATGATGTTGGTGACAGTGGCACCAATCCTCGCACTGTTGCGGTCTCTGAGAGGGGGCTCATTGGCACTGTGGGTGAGGGGCTGGACTGCTGCCACCAGCAGGAGTGTGACAGGGAGAGATTGCCTATCTTGGTGGCCTCCTTGCCAAAGCAGACCCCAAGTCAAGGCAGGTGGTCCAGCCTGGAGATGACTGGAAGCGCACAAACATGGCCCAGGGAGGGGCGAGAAGCAGGCACATGCACCAAGGAGGACAGCATGGCTGTGGGCGGGGGCCGCTGCGGACCTTAGGAGGTCATCTAGCACCTGCGGGAGTGTTGCCTCCTAGAGGGGCTCCCCTCGACTCATGTTCTTTGCCCCGGACTGCTGCCCTGGAGCTGAGCACACTTCATCCTGCCTGTAGGAGCAGCTCCAGGAGAGTGTGACGGGAACCACAGGACCAGCCCGCCTTCCTCCAGGGGCAAGGGCAGGGCCCAGGGCTGAGGTGGATGGCAGGATCCCCACCCTCCCTGCAGCTTCCTGGCCCACAGTCAGGCGCTCAGACCCCTTCCCTTTGTCAGGCTCTTTCTGAGAGCTCTGAGGTTTTGTGCGACAAGGTTTGTGTCCAGCCCTCTGGCAACCGACTTGCTAATTTCTGCCTGTGTGGACCATGCTGTATTCACCTTCAGGAGCCATTGGCGGTGGTGGGAGCTTTTTCATGCATTTCAGCCTGACTCTGCCCATTGTCTCCCTTCCCAGATTCCAGCTAGTTCTCTGACCAGAGCGCCCCCTGGGGGCCTCTGGGAAGGAATTCCCCAGGACACTGCAGACTTACACCCTTTCGGGACTGGGACTGCAAGAAAGGCTAGGATATGTGTGCCCTCTGGACCTGAGATCACTAAAGACAGAGGAGCTGGGAAGTCGCTTGCTTAAACTTACCTAACTGGATTAGGGGTGGTTGGAAATGTGTGGGTTGATTCAGTTTGCGCCATCTCTTGTGGAGCTCATATCACCTGCTTAGAAAGACTTTAAATCAAACATTTTAAAATTATTTTCTCAAGGGCCGGCGAGATAGCTCAGCAGATTAAGTGCCTGCTTTGGCAAGCTCAGGGACGAGGGTTCAATCCCTGGTCCTGCATGTCAAGCAGGTCCCACCCCCAGGCGTGCTGAGCCAGCAACTGATTCTGGGTGTGGTGGTACAGGCCTATAATCCCAGCACTAGGGAGGCTGAAAATGGGATTACTATGAGTCTGAGTTGCCTAGTGAGACCCAGTACCAAACACATAAAAATAACAATAAAATTAAATAAAATAGTTTTCTTATAGCCCCCTTAGAGTCCAGACAACTTACATGAAAGAACAATGACATTTATGAGAGAATCATGTGTTTTGGGAGGGTGTGGGAGCTGGGGACAAAGTGCTGCGTATTCTCCATGTAATTGCGTTAATATAGACCTGTGCTTTTCACCCATTTCCCTACAGAATTTTCTTTCCAAACAGTGGTATGGAGAGATTTCCCGAGACACCAAGAACTGGAAGATTATCCTGTGCCTATTTATCATCCCCCTGGTGGGCTGTGGCTTTGTGTCATTCAGGTATGAGCCAAGGCGCGTAGCCGCACGTGCAAGTGTGTAAGTGCCCCATGTGTGTTCTTGTGTCAGTGATTGTAAGTGCACTGTATGTGTTCTTGTGTCAGTGATTGTGAGCCCTAGAACTTGGAACTTTCACTGCGCTGCCTGTGCATGTAGTCTGCTTTCTCCCTGGATTTTTCTGGCTTTCACTCCACTAGGGAAATATAAAGCCCTACCCTCAGGACCGAGGGCAGAAGCTGGATGTGTTAGTCACAAAATGCCCAGGGGTGAGTTAAGGCAGGGTCAGTCTTAGGATGCAGTTTTGACCAGTGCCTTCCTCCCGGCGTGGGTGTGGATTGTCTGTTTGCGAGGAGGACTGTGGCACTGGCTGCATGCGTGCATGGACACTGACACTGCCTTGGCCTCTTGGTGCAGGAAGAAACCTATTGACAAGCACAAGAAGCTGCTTTGGTACTACGTGGCCTTCTTCACCTCCCCTTTCGTGGTCTTCTCTTGGAATGTGGTCTTCTATATCGCCTTCCTCTTGTTGTTCGCCTACGTGCTGCTCATGGACTTCCACGCGGTCCCACACACGCCAGAGCTGATCCTCTATGCGCTGGTCTTCGTCCTGTTCTGTGATGAAGTAAGACAGGTAGGACGGTCGCAAAGCCAGGTGCATCCCAGTGCCCTTGCCGGGAGGAACAAAGTTGCTGCTGAAATCCAAAAGTCACTGCTTTCCTATGATGAGTGCTCTCCTCGTTGGGGGTCCATGAAGCCGCAGCCATCAGCTCTTAGCAATTTGGGAGGCTCTGTTAGCTTCCAGTCAGGTCCTGGCCTCTGCCAAGTGCTAAGGGATGGAGGGGAGTGAGCCAGGACTGGAAAGCATTTGAGAGAGACTGTGAGGTCCTTGCCGTCATCGGCAGCCATCTGGTTCTTGCCATTAGCATCCGGGTAGGGGGTAGTGGGATGGGCATCAGGGGAGCCGGGAGGACCTTCTGGCTCAGGGCCTCTTCATGCCCGGCCTGCCAGAGTGACAATGAGTTCAAGTCCTGTAATCCTTGGCCGCAGGGAGTGCATGTAAATTGCCGTTGTGCTTCCCCGGAGTGCTCAGCGACTGTGGTTTTTGGTCTCTCTGTCCCGCCACCGAATCCAGTGACTGTTATGGAAGTAAATGTTACTTGCATAAGACAATACTGTGCCTAAACATTGGAAAAACCATCCTAAACCCTTTCAGATTTAGTCATCTGTGCATGTTTGACAGCTGCTATTGTGATTACTTCTGTTGTCCCTTCTGAGACCAAGCCTTAAAGTTGATCAGTTCAGTAAGAATATCCTAGCTGCTTCCCACATACAGGGTACTCCTGGGCTACAAAGTGCTAGACTCCGTGCTAGAAGAGACTTGGGTGGGCAAAGAAACTGTTCTTGCTCTTACAGAGCCCTCAGCCAGCCAAGACCCTAAGCTGGTGTAAAATGGCATGCCAGCTACAGTGGACCTTTTTGGGACAGGGCTTCTTTTATAGGACAGGGTCTACAGGGCCTACAGGGCCTACAGGGTCTAAGGGCCTACAGGGCCTACAGGGTCTACAGGGCCTACAGGGCCTACAGGGCCTACAGGGTCTAAGGGCCTACAGGGCCTACAGGGC